TGCGTTTGCCTGATGATAAGTGATGTTGAGCATCTTTTCATATGTCTGTTGGCCATCTGTTTGGCATTCTTTTCAGAACTAGAATAAATAATTCTCTCTCTTTTTTTATTTTAATCAACCTCAACATTATTTGGTTCAAATTATACTTAGGTCATTTACTACATGGTGGGTCTCGAGAAATTGTTCCTAATTTTATTCAAATCTATAAAACAGGTTTAATCATCAAGGTAATGTGTTTAAAACAAAAAACTAGGAACCATGGCTTAACACCTTGTCATTGTTTAGTATTATACTTTTTCTCCCATTAAAGTGGTTTTCTTACTTATATTTGATGATTTTAAAAAGCATTCATTTCTTGTAAAACATTCACATATTCAGGAGCGTAAAAATAAAAGTGGACAAATCACTCTAAATTCCACTTCCTAGCGTAAACAACTCAGTGTACCCAGGCAAAATTAATTGGTTCAGGAATTCCTAAAATGTCTTTGTATTTAATTAAATTAATTAATTTATTTTTAAAAAAANGTACTATTAATAGCCAAAATTATTGAGTTCATTGGTTTAATAGCTTATATGAACTCATGTAATCCTCACAAGAACTTTATAGGTATATATTGTTATTTGTCCCTCTTTACATATGAAGAAACTAAAGCACATAGTGGTTAAGTAACTTATCCGAGCTAGTAAATAATAGGACTAGGATTTGATGCCAGTCAGTCTGGCATATAGCTTTTCTATAGCTTGGTTCTGCTACTGTGGGATGTAGTTTTGCTTGACTAGTTTTTTTCTCTTTAAATCTTTTTTGAATATCACAGTCACAACAATATTGTAATGCAAGGTGGAATTAAAAATGCTTCTCTGAAATTCTAATATTTTCAGAATTATTACTAAATAATTACCTAGAGACTTTTTTCAAAAAGAAAGTTTGTATTCTTTTAGAACAACTGATATGCACTCCAAAATCTTATTTGTTATCTTATAAGTCTGCCTCTAGGTAGACTTTAAACCCAAGCCTTAGTTTTCTTTAATATATTGGGTTGTCGGAAAAGTCATGACATATTTTTTTTCTATGTTTTTCGTTGCAAACATGCATCATGACTTTTCCGACAATGCAATAATTTTATATTAGTTGAAATTAGCGTGGTATTTTAATGTGAACATTCTGAAGAAATGTGTAAGTTACATTGTGTATCATGTGTCCTTATTCAGGACACATAATAAGATTAATAGCATACTTTTTTTGGCCTTTACAGTTTATATATCATATCTATCTATCTATATATATATATATAGATAGATATATAGATAGATAGATATGATTTATATGTCATATAAATATGGCTGGTAAAAGAATATCCCAGCATAGACATATTCCTGTTATTCAACAGGGTAGTTCTGTCTTTCATGTCAGTGTACGTATATTACACATGACAAAATTGGAAAGGATATTCTAAAAAGAAGTCTATTAGGAATGAAAGCATTTATCATTGATTGGACATTTCTATCCATAAGTCAGTATGTAACACTGAACTGTCAAATGAAGCTCATCAACAGATTGTTAGAATTCCCGCCTAATATAATCTAGTCAAGATTCACAAACTAAGAGATTCACATAATCCTCTAACAGATATACTAGATATGTGTGCTTAGAAAAAAATCCTGTGTGAATCACTTATATTTGAATTGATTTGTAGAGTACTGTATAAAACAAGTGGATTAAGCCATGAGCAAATCACAATGCAGTTACATGATACAAAGAACAGTATTAGTAACAAAATGTTTATGGTCATAACTTAATGGTCAGCTGGTGTTTCAACAGATTTACCTTACACGCTTGGAGCCAGCAAAAGGAAAAAAAAGAAATATAGAGGAAAAAAACACTCTCACAGTATTTGCAGATTAGTTTTGCATTGGGATCCTCCTTTAGCACTTACCCAGGCCTTGTACAACTCTACCTTAGCTTTTATTACCTACAGTGAAGCCAGAACACTTGCCAGATGTGAAAATGTAGTCTTCTCAGGCCTTTTAAGAGCATGTGTCCTGCCCTTGGGTATGTGAATGGCTTTCCTAATTCCCTGATATATGCAGAAGCTTTAGAAAGCTCTTGCTCCCACATTCACCTCTCCTCGCAACCTCTTTTCTTGGGTTTTTGGTCTGTTTATTGTTTGTCCTAATGTTGTGTCTTGCTCCAGCTGTTGTGGCCAGTACCTAGCCTTTAGATGTTTTTAGCAGAAACTGCCCAGGAACTATTCTAGCTCTGGGAGTGCTCAGAGTTGGACAAAACAAAGGGAAGGTTTTGCACCAGTCTTTGATGGGAGCTGCCAGACACGTTGATACTCACAACCGCAATTCATTGAGAATAATGTCTGTATTGCTTCCTAACAATATGCACCAGAAGGATGGGCTGCTGCCTGTCTGGGGTGTGGGCATGGCAGTAGGCAGGTTGTTTAAAATGTCACAGTGCTTTCTTACATAAAGCAGCAGCTTCTTTCTTCACCATGCCTTCCCCTGGTTGTTGTGTTTTTTACTGTATTCCAGTTTTCAGAAGTTGATTCTGACAGTTTCTGCCAGCTCATTACTTGCTTTTGGGGAGGGATAGAGTCTAGGGATTACCTGCTCTTCTATTTTGGGTGATGATTTTAGTGACTAGTGGTGATGGTGCTTTAATGATGTTCCAAAGGTATCAGTTATCTCTGTTGTCTGCAGTGCTATTGGCTTTTGGCTACCATGCTACTGATGTGAGGGGAGAAGGGAGGTGTAAATAACCTCAAGTTAAAACATCACAGACCTCACTGTCTCACTGAGGTTCAGTTGTTTTTGTTGGATACACACTTCTCAGTGGGTACTGGGCTTTGGCTAATTGTCAAAGTGCTGAAATGGTTGATTTTAGTTGTTCAGTTGTTTTGCACATATTTTCATTGCTTTAGAGGGAGAATGCGATCGATCACCAAGGTCCTTACTCCACCATTCTGGAAATCTGTTTCTTCCAGAGCATTCTGAGAGAATAGTAATGGGAAACATTATAAAGATACAATAAATTTTCAAAATTATTATGATGGCTTATGTCTGGATCAGCGAGATAGACAATGTCAAGAAATAGTTTAAAATTCATACAGGGATTCATTGTTTAATGAGTGGCATTTCAAATAAGTGGAAAAAAGACACATACTTAATGGTAAGACAACAATGTAACCATTTGTAAAAATTAAGTGAACAAATAAATCAATGGAATGCACACTTTATACCCAAGTAAATTCTACTTTAAGGGTAAGGGTCAATGTAAAGGCTTCATATTGACTTATGGTGCTTGGAATAAATTAAATTAAATTAAAACAAATGTCTCAGCACAAAGGCTGTCATGTCACATGGGTTGAGCCTGACAATTTTAAAATTGTCCGTGTAGTATTAGAGATTAAGGAGTAGATCGACTGATGGAGTTTAGTGCCTAACTGGGTGAACACTGACACCTAGTTGGGCTTCCCATCTGTGCATGAAGCTAAGATGGTTGCAAGTTACATCCTTTTCCTAGAATTGTTTTGAGGCAAAAATTCCATGCTTATTAAGAAAAATAGATTTTTCTGAAACAAACTCTGATGTTTAGAAAAAGGAAATCTTACGGATTTACTATCTTGCATCTATTAATATGTTTATTTTTTTCTACAAGAAAGCTTTCCCCCCTACCCCCAGTGTTTACCTTTCCATTTGGAACTTACGTCATTACCTATAAGACAAATTTATATTGGCTCTTCTGTTTTCACCTAGAAATAGCCTCGTTTTAATGGTTTGTTTCCAAAATCATTTTACTTTTTAGTATAAAGGAAGCTATGTGGTTTCTATAATAACTACAGGGTTATAACCTTTTAAAATATGTGGAATTATTTTGTTAGTAATAGGAAAGTAATTTAAAAAATTATATAGTTATGCTCTATTTTAATCATTATCTTCTTGTTTTCTTCAAACTTCATCCAAGTCTCAAAGAGTTCTTTTAAAGTATATTAATTGCCTCAGTTCATTAATGTTGATAATGTGGAATCATTAAGGCTTCCTTTCCCCTTCTTCAAAAAAAGGTGTTATATTCCATATACTTCACTTTAAGTAGGTGTAAACCTATGTAGTGCTAATGTTTTCATGTTGAGTATTCTGTTTCTCAGAAAATTAATTTTAATTCTTTATACTGTGACAAGACTTTCGTGGAGTTGATAGAGGAACAGAGCTTAAATTTGAGTTCCTAACATGAAGGGACTTTATATATATATTACTTCATAAAACCCTTACTACATTATGTGACATGGGTATAATTATCCCTATCATAGCCACCATGTAAGGTAGGAGATGTCATCCCTTTTAATTATTGAGACACCTGAACCTTGGAAAAGTTAAACAAATTGCTCAAAGTCACATTACTTCTAAGTGACAGAACCAGAAGTCAAACCAAAGTTTTCCTGACTCTAAGGCTTTTGATATTTTTCCTACACATTGTTTTTATTCCATAAGGGATTTAATAAATACTTGTTGAATGAAGGAATGACAGAGACTGAGAATTTTCTGTTACTAAAGTCTAGGACTTTAATATATTCATATATTTATTGATTGTTTACTATATTACAGGCATTCTGTGGTGGACCTTTACTATTTTTAATTAGATACTAGTCTCAATTTTAGTCTCAATTTCTTGAGACTCAAGATTTTAGTCTCAATTTCCATTAGGTTTAAGGTTTTACCAGCCTTATAACTTTTAATTTACATTTTGTTTTTATTGTTGTGGTGGTCGTTTCTGTTTGTGTTGCAGATCAGCCCTTTGACAGAATCTGAACTTGAACCATTGAGGATGTAATTATAGGTGGAGCTAGTAGTGTTAGCCTGACAGATCAAGTAATAACCTGAATGCTTATCTTGATTGCACAGTTGAGCTGTGTCCTCTATGAAATGGTCTTGCTGAATTTTTCTAAGATTTAGCAAGAGGAAATAGTAAATCACTGTGGTCTTCTGTTCTCTTTCAGCTTTCAGAAGAATTATTAGATAAATGGCTCTCCTACCCAGAGTCCCAGCATATACCTCTTTGCCAGCATATGCTTGGTTTTGCTATGAAGTCTGTTACACAGATGGTAATGGGTAATGCATTTGAAGATGACCAGGAAGTCATTCGCTTCCAGAAGAATCATGGCACAGTAAGTCTAGGGTCAAATTTAAAATTATTCTTTCATCAGATTGGATAGTTGAATAACACAGACTTTGCCTCTCAAGAAGAAGGTTTAAGATTCTATAGTATAGAATTTCCTTGTTTTGGGCTAAACAACAATGCAAGCAGAGATAATTGTGGTTTTTAAAAATTTAAGAATTACTCTTTTTTAAGCATTTACTTTTTGAAATTTAAAAGGTAGATGACTAAAGAAGTTTTCTTTTAATACTCAGAAAGTACTCATATGTTATTAAATAATACTGAATTCTAGAATAAAGGGAAAAACTATATTTAATAGAACTAGACTGTGTCCTATATAGAAAGAAGTTAAAGCCAATGGACCATTAAAATAGTAATGAAATAAATAAGGTTTGAAGAAAGACTCATTCGGGGCCAGCCGAGTGGCACGTTGATTGGGAGTTGGCTTGGGACGCCAGCTCTGAGCAGTAGGGCCCGGTTCGGATCCCACATGAGGGCCAGTGATGCTGTGCCCTCTACAGCTAAGATGGTGAACAACAGCTTGATCTGGAGCTGGGCTGCCATGAGTCACCAGCAACGGCGTAGGCTGCAGTGGGGCTACAGCGGTCTGCCGTAAGCTACCGTGAGTGGCTGGCAGCCAGCATGAGCTTTCGTGAGCTTCTGTGAGCCGTTGTGAGCGGCCAGCAAGTGACTGCCTCAGCCAGGAAGAGCTCAATAATACCAACATGGGCCAGTGAAGTGACGCCCTCCACAACTAGACTGAAGAACCAAAGGACAGAGACTTGTCTGTTCCCCATCCCCAATTCCTCAATAAAAATAAAAAAATCTAAAAAAAAAGAAAGACTCATTCAGCCTAAAGTTGATTTACTGTGTGCTTTTTCTGGATTCACATGTGGAATATATTGTTCTGTATTTAAAAAAATTAAAAATGTTTTTTATTAAAGTATATTTAACATGGAATATTATATTAGTTTGAGGTAAATAGCATAGTGTTTCGACACTTATATACCTTAGGATGTGATCACCATGATAAATCTAGTGACAATTTGTCACCATACAAAGTTATTACAATATTATTGACATATTCCCTGTGCTGTATGCTACATCCCTGTGGCTTATTTATTTTATAACTGAAAGTTTATATCTCTTATTCACCGTTACCTTTTTTACCTATCCCTCACCCTGCTCCCTTTGGGCAACCATTAGTTTGTTCTTTGAATCTATGGGTCTGTTTCTGG